ATATTCTTCAAACGTCTGATTCAGTGTGTGTGTGTGTGTGTGTGTGTGTGTGTATGCACGCCAGGGAGTGCGACATCACTTGGTACAATTTTGTTAGGAAAAATGACTACACGCTCGCAGTGACCCGGCAAAGTGGATAACAAAACAGCGTATGCAGGCAAGTTTTTCGACACCATTTATTTTCGTTACACATAATCACAAAAGAAGCGCGTGAATCCGAGTGTGTCTGGTCTGTGACAGCTGAAAAATTGAGCCGGGCATCATTCACTCTGAACTCAGAAGGTAGAGCAAAGTCCTCAAACGCGGAGACGGAGATCGATTTCACTCGACACTGTGATTACGACATTCCGGAGAGAAAAAGAAAAACGGTGAATAAACGTGTTTGCCATACCCATATCCTCTGACTATGTCCGTTAGGTCTAAGTGCAAAAACTTAATCTTAATTGCATAGCATTCCGGTCTGTGTGTGAGTGATGAAATTTCACAAAAGAAGACTGTTGTTTCATTCAAATGAGGCTTTATTGAAGTGACTATGGTTACACAAGGTGCCCAAACTCCTTGTGATCAAAGTCTGCAGGATAGAAGAAGTCGACTGACTTGCGGTCGATCAGCACCTATTATACCTGCTTCTATGATCTGATGCACACAATCAATTTTGAGACAATCTCTTGTTTGCATGTTCATCTGACTGTGGATTCGACCTTTCGTTTACTCTGCTCCCATTCATAGTTGAGTAATATAAACCTACACCATTGGTCCAGCACCTGGTAACTACTCCATATTATTTACTACATTAGTTGAAACGCACACTTTTTCTGTCATGAAATATATACCGACATCACTGAGAAACTTTGTCTAACTGAGTCAGTCACCATTGAGTTTTACGCGGGTTGGATCTCGATAAGCCCAGAAGAAGGCTTGACAGAGAATCAGAAAAGATGAGATCCAATCTCTCCTAAATTCTACAATCGGATGCCTAATGAATAAGTTATTTAATTCGTAAAATGCAGATAATACCAGCTATACCTGAGCTCAAAGATAGCCACAAGGTTTCGATGCGAATCAGAACGGCTATCTTGTAGATGCAAGCTCCCAACGAGAACGGAACAAGAGCATTGCATTCAAACATTTGTCAATTCAAGTTACGGGGGTATCCACACGACAAAGATGTTCCAGCACCACCGCCACATACCGATTCGTCAAATTTTCTATTTCATGCATTTTAAAACTACATGAAACTTTGTTTTGGCGTCTCATCACCTCACTTGCATCCTTATGCCGGTTCATTCAAAAGTAAACCTATCATCCATCCACTCCGCCCCTCTCGTGCTCCGATATCAAGCGAACCATCCACACAGCGATTCCAATTTATCTCGTTCCAGACCCAGCAACCGTTGTGCTATCGATTATTTCAACACTTCTCCCAGGTCGCACGTGAACATCCCGTCTGGTCCACAGCAGCGCTGAATGCACTTGAACACGTGTTGAGTATGGGTGAGTAGACTGATCACTGTCGCACTTGGACAATGTTAGTGTGTTTTATTTGCAATCCATGAACACTCGAATCGGTCCTCGCCCACTCGAATCGTTCAGGACTTTTTCCAGGTCATAAAATGAGTGGGCACGGAAAAGGTGTCACAGGAAGAGAGATTCGTGTCTTGATGGCATTGTTTTCGAAACTATAGTGCTAGCCGGAACAGAAATGAACCAGATCTTGAAATGCAAGTACTTTTTGAATTTTTATGAGCTTCGCACCTCTATCAAGTTCGGAAATCGTATTTCTCGTTCACCTTACCAAATCCACTCACTTAACTTTATTTGGTTACAGTTTGCTGCATTTGGGATAACCACTGGGTCTATTACTGGCTGAAACCTTCCTCGCACAAGGGAGAATGAACTAAGCTCACTTGTGCAAACGATTGGTTTGAACATAACCACGGATAGGTGGACGATATTCCCTATGTGACCGAGGCTTTTTGTGATTTCTACCATCTGCAGTATGGTTGAATGGAACTGGGCGCGCAGAACAGTACACATTACAATTAAACTATCAACAATCATTTCAGCGGAACGAAAGGTGAATAGAAAATCAACCAACATAGAGTGGCGAGTACATCAACTTCCTACAGTTTCTTAAGAATCTAAATTAAACATGAAACAGTGAATTGTTTAGCCGCCAGAGAGACGGTAGTTGTTTTGAGGATGTATCGGATAATTGATAGAGATTCATTAGGAGACCGAGATCCGTTTAATTGAAAGAAATCGGATTGAAAAAAAATTTGTCAACTCCCGTGGGATTCATCAGAATGGATGATCTGTTAACACTTTAGAACCGATACTGTGAGTGAAATACTAACCCCGACATCTGGGTGGTAGCGTTGCTTGGTTTGAATTACTCCTATGATCCAAATTCGAAACAAGAATAAACTATTGATACTGAACTCATCAATGGTAACGTAGAAAAAATCAGGTGTCTATGACATCCTTAAAACAAGGTCTACATTCGCTTTCATTTCAATGGTGAACATATCGATCTGATCTTCCATGACTGATTGAAAAGGAGATGTAACGCACTCATCATGTTTCCAACTCAATCGCATCCCCACATAACCGACAAAACAACCTCTGTCACTGTCTGCCAAGTCGCCAAGTCATTTACCAGTTTGAAAGCGGGTACGGAGCCCCTTGCATTGGCAGAACAGATAAACAGTTGTACACAGATCCAGGACCACATTCCATGTTGGGCTAGAAGCAATTTGATCGAGTCAATTGATCAAGGGTTATTCTTCAATTTGGCCCCCTTAAACCTGCACACGTATCCCCCACCACCAATTTACTCAATCGCATTACACCATATTACCAACAGCCATCTTTACACAAGAACATCAAACAGGCAAAAAACCTGTGTAATTTAATGTTCAAGCAATTGTCCGAATCAGACAAGCCAATTTAGGATCTAGGCAGTGAATATTTGGATTTACCGACTCAATTTCTTTCACACTCACCAGGTCTTGGGTATGGGTTTATAAATGATGGACATGTGTGTGATGACCGACAAGTAGCACGAGACAGCTGTTTCGTCCTGTTTGGGACTCGTCAGCAGTGCGTACGTGTTGTGTTCCTGTCATGACTCGAACCACGAACATTCGTGTTGTGAATTCAAACCCTTATGTCTGAGCTATACGTACAACGGTTATCACATTGGGCAAACAGCTCCATCAATTGAGATGGTGAATACTTAGATTGACAGGGACACAGAAAGTACGCGCAATGCTGACGAGTCAAACCTGACCGTTATGTGTGTGTGTATGTATGTGAAAGGAACTGTCAGTTACACTATCACAGTGGTAATGAGTGTGATCATTCGGCCCTGTCGCATTTGCGTGTAACGGTTTTACATCAAGAGGAGATAGTGAAACCTTTACGTTTCAATCAAAATTCTGGTGCACCCTATTTCCGAGAGAGAGAGAGAGAGGTTAATCTATTTATATGCCGGTTGTAATACTCATTTTCTGCCTTTAGTACCGGAAGCGCTACGATGGTCAACGCGGCAGTGTGGAAAACGCTCAAGCGTTAAACGCGTTGAACTGCGGATTGCAAGGCAAACAAACTATGAGAGCTTATAATTAGAATTCAGTAGTATCGACTGATTGAAAAATCACCTCCTACCCTGCGCCCCCACTCCTGTTGCTGACTCGTATTCACACTGACATGGAGATGCATTGATAAGATTCATTTTACTATACACGCTGATTTCATCCCGTCAGATCCAGTCCAAATGAGCTCAACATCGGACGGCTTAAATCCACCCGGCCCCGGTCCGGACGGAGCAGTACGAACCCAGGCTCGTCGACGATTTACACAGGTCCTCACCATGCTAACTCACGGCAGTGGGGCTCTGTCCAAGCGCAAGAGATTGAACAGTTTGATGGAACGGACTACCGGTCGGGAGGTGGACGATCCGGTCACGGAGACGGAAACCGCAATTCACTGTGTGGTTGTCACACCACAGACACATCAGGCACTGGTCAGTGAATTAACCGGTTCAACCAAAGGTGGAAAGTCCAGTGAACTGACTAACCGAATTGAGCAGTTCTGGGATGTAAGTATTCCATGTGAACACAGTCTAAAAAATACTCTTGGTGAAGAACCGATGTTGATAGTGCGTGAGGCTGAAGAAATATTACAGTGATTTTGGCGAACAAGCTCGTTTTCGATAACTTCTTCGGGCTAATACAGTTATATGGTCAAATTCAAATGTGCTTCGATGTCTAGGTGTGATTCGTCGTTTGTGATTGTTTTTGATGTGTGGTTGGGAAATGTGTGGGATGGGAGGATGTGTTCTTAACACGGTTGTATAAGATGCTTGGCTCGTGTGTGCAGTATGATGTCCCCCGGGAACGGATACACCAGACAACCGCAAGTGGGTCGAGTATAGTTGTGGGTTAGAACCGTTGATAGACCGGGTGTTCTCCGTGGTGAGGATTTGACTGACAATCTGAAAGAGAGGAGAATGCAGACACCATGAACCAAAAGGTCCAGTGAGACATGAACACGACGCACACTCAAACGGAATGGTAGATTGCCAAGGTCTTTACAGTTGTGAAAATGATCAAGACGTGGACGTGTCATCACGTGTTTGGGTACCGGGGTCATGGAAAATGTCACATTTATCCCGGGGGTATGTGTCACTTTGTGGCCAAGGCAGTCTGAGTGATTGTACGAACCGATGAGTTTAATAATGGAATAGTCACGGCTTTGGCTGTTGCGATAAGACGTTGACGGACGGCTTTCGAAGGATCCGATGGTACACTGTAGATATAACTGTATTAGCCCGAAAAAGTTGTTGAAAATGAGCTTGTTCTCTAAAACCACTGTGTTTTCCCTCCTCTCCAAGATGGGAATTCTCCGTAAAAATGAAAGCTGTATGAGAATCAAAAATAATCGATCGCCATCCCATCCAGGTGAACCAAATCGATTTTTACCNCCGTAAACGAAAGTCTTTCAAATGTATTGTCTTCCGATGTATGCATCGATCCGATCAATGATAAATGATGGGAGTATTCTTCCAGTCGATTGCATGCTTTTTACCAGTTATGCGTCTCGACTGTGAGAAAAAACAATTACCGGAGGATCAATGCACCTGGTTCCCATATGTTTCATTTGAACAAAATCGTTTCATCAGAAAAAAAAACCATAGATCACTGGAGGTAGGAAAGATATCGGTCCAGATGAGAAACAATTTAAAAAGATTTATTCTTTTCATCATGCTACGAAAGTGGGTAGAGAAAAGGAGGGGTGAAAATGGTTTTTTATTTATCAGGCACAAATCACACTATTCAGCTCGGAACTGCAGACTGATTCAGACGTCTCTCCACCAAATACATGTTGTAACAGATTCCGTCAAGTTTTGTAGAACATAATCTCATGCTTGGCACTGATAACAACAAATTAATAAAATAGGAGACAGACAAATTAAACATATTTAAACAGTCCCACGAAGCACACACAATGCTAACACAAATTGGCCAAGGAACTCTCGTTCAGTGTGTCTCAATCATGGCATTACAACACAGCCTAAATGACTAGTAACTAATAAGGATTTAGGAGGGAAAAGACGAAAGCATTTAACAGTTTTGCGGTAGCAAGCTTGGATTAGCCCATTCGATTGTTAGGAGCCACCAGGCATTCTTGATGGTCTTGGATGTAGATTGCACTGCTTGGGAGATCGCTAATTCCCCACAATTTCATGCATTTTACATGCGATGGAAATGTTTGTGATAACCGACAAAGAGTGAAGCCCACACTCCGAAGACCATCATGAGTGCCTGGTGCCTCTGAACAATCGAATGGGTTAATTCAAGCTTCCTACCGTAAAACTGATTGAGTCATTCGCACAAGGTGATAACCGTCGACCGTGTAGCTCAGGGGTAAGGGTTTGAAGTCTCAACTCGAAAAATCGCGGTTCGAGTCCTGACGGGGACACACAAAGTACGCACTGCTGACGAGTCCCAAACAGGACGAAACAGCTGTCCAGTGCTCTTTGTTGTTTCCCACAAACATTTTCATCGCATTTGAATATTAACACAGTCCCGCAGAGCACACAACACGAATATAAATTGGCAAAAACACTAGTTTTCAGTGTCTTTATTATGATATGACAACACAATATATACGATTAGTGAGAAATAAACATTTAGGAGGGAAAAGAAAAGGTGATTAAAGTATTCAAAAGTTTGTATCAAATTGGTCTCCAATTACCATTTGCTCGGATGACAGGTCACTTGTTGGCAATTCGGCCATGGGAGCTTGAGTGCTTGCACAAATTGTTTTTGAGCACACACAGGGGGTTGTGAAGACGGATGCTAATTACTTCTGCTGTGTCTAGAATGCGAAGCCGCCTGTGTCTATAAATCGTCTCGTTTTAACTCCACACAGGGTCGGAACGATTTGGTAGCGTTTACGATGTGATTAGTGTCGACAAGGTCCGACACAACCATGAAGGGTGATGCTCACCGATGCGCTCGGACAGATGCATGATCGTGCGACCAACATGCTTTGCTTTACAGAGGCAAATGAAAGAGTAATAAATATAGAAAGAGACAGCAGAATCAGTCACTCTATCCTTCAACCGTAGATACGCCAACGGATTAGATGTGAATCGAGTCTAGGGTTACGCTGCGTAGAATGTTTCTTTGATAGCAACTGATAGCTTTTCATTCACAATCCCTGCCAAGATATCATCTTTCAATGGTAAAGAGGTGTACACATGCTTTTTTCTGAGTAATGACCCACTTGGGAAATGGCTCTTGCCGTTGCAGCACATAATACTGATGACCTGGCAATAATACTTCGAAGTATGAGCGTGCACGATCCACGTGGTACTATTGAACATTGTTTCTTTTTGTTCAATTAGTCCTGAGGGCTTAATTACATCTTTGGCACTGTACAAAAGTGCAGTTGTAATGTCAAGACCCAAGATGACCATATCCAACAACAATAGGTTTTATAATTCCAATTCAGTGATGAAATTTATAGGTGAAGTAGGGATTTGATGATGAGGCCTGCACTTAAATCACCATTTCCAAATGCTTTTATGAACACTGTGGAAGTCACAACGAGTGTGTGATACTGATCAAAGGTATCGTAACACAGCAACAAAAACCAACTGTTTACCGCACCTACGTAGACGTGCCCAATAGGATTAGTTCTCTAATCAATTCGATCAGACTGCTTTGGAGGGGGGGGGAGAGCAGAGTTGTACAATAGTCAGCTCAGATGTGATTAGGAATACCACTGATTAATGTTTGATTCTGTGAAAGATGCATTGTTCGATTGATCGGGACCAGTCCATTCCCTTCGTTCAGCTTGTTATCTGCACTTTTTCCGACTGCGATTGCACGTAAACTGATTGTTTTCGGTTTTTTCCACCTCATCTCAAAATCGCACTGTTTGCAATGGGGGTTACTGTGATGATAATTAGGGCGATTCATCTCTCCCCACACACAAACCCCCACACCCCGCTTTTATGGTTGCTATTTTAGCCAGTGTTGAGGGGGAACCTCTTAGGCTCCCCCTAAACTCCATTGGCGCGTCACCTCATGATCGTCTTCCTGCCCTGTTCAGCGATTTCCGATCTACCCTCTCAGCTAATTTAATTCGCCTGCGAATCTCGATATCAAAAAGAGAATCCGTCATTAGTAGGTGATCCTAAAAGCGTATAGGATGGACTTGTTCAAATTACGATTTCGCGAAAGCCGTATGATTGTGGTACACGATTCCATACTCTACTTTGACGCTCACTCGTTATCCTTCTATCCTGAAGCGCAAAATATACTACTTAAATTTTAACTGAATAATCTTCCATCCCTGGTTTAAAGTAGTTTTTTCAAGTATGAACTTTTTCCTGTTTGGAATAGATAACACTTCAATTTGTTGTAATAACGGCAGGGCTGCAGTATGCACCCTAAAAACTGCCTTGTTTTGAGATAACCAATCAGAACAAGGATAGCCAAACTCAGGTGATTGGTCGGAACTGTCGACCAATCAAGACGATTTACAACAACCCGGTCAACCAATCGTTGGATATATACATTCCAATGTCCTCTGTCTTCCACATGGGTAACCATGATTTCTGCACAAATTGAATTCCTACACGCTTCCAGCTGTGTTCTATTTCACTACCTGTGGAAATCCTTTCTGGACGAGAAAACTTTTACCGGAAGACGATCCTTTGAGAATCCAATATCGAGAAAATCCTTTGCAGTTACAACAAATGTATTATTTAAGAGAATATCCAGGGAACAGATTCCGTGCCGGAATGTTCGATACGTATATCTGCATAGAGTAACAAATATTTTTTGAAACTGAGCGTCGCAGCGTTCATCGTTACACTACAACAGGTTTCCAAATACCGAATAGTACTCAACAGAAATTGTACTTAGTCATACAGGTGTCAGTTCCATGACATGCATGTCTTTGGTTTTGTCAAAAAGTATTATCCAGAGGAATATTTCACTGTCAGTCTGTAACAGCATGCACTCAGGTTTTATTTAACCCCTCCTCCACCCCCACCCCACCCCATCCACGCATCCCTAATCCTGATTTTTGACCCCCGTCCAAATCAGTCAGTGGTTTCCCGAATCGATCGGTATTTGGGAGACCGAATCCAAGATGAACGCATTCAGTTGGTAAACACTCTATGCGGAACGGAAAATGATCGTCCCACAAATGCGTTTCCAGTGGTGGGTGCCTCGAATCTCGATTTGGACCGAAACGCGTTCGTTTCCAAGTAAGTGAGAAAAAACCAGCCAACTGTCAAATACACCATATGACTTTGGTAATGACTCAACAACCCAGTGCTTTCTGCCTGAACTTATGTAATTATGTAAGTGTCCATATATGGTTTATTAATGGAAAATCAAATACGGTCTGATCAGCTTCCGGCTGGCCGAGTGGGTAGTACGTTTGCGTTCTGCCCACGAGGTCTCGGGTTCGATCCCCAGTTGGGTCAATGGATTCGCACTGCTGATGAGACCCAACCAGGTCGGAACAGCCGTATAGTGCTTCCTAGCTTTCCACTTCACACTTCATTTGCTATATACACGATGCATTCACTATTAAAGTCTATTAATAATTTATGTTAATCGATTTTGTGTGATTGAGTGAGTCATAAATGGGACTTAAGTGAACTTTTAGGGAATATTTGAAAACGAGTGGTATCTGAATGGCTATAGACCTTTCACGATATACAATGTTTGATCGCAACAATAATTCATAAATGAACGTGGGAAATTAGAAGTTTGTGAAGAAAAGACGCATTCATTTACACGTGTGTGTTTGTGTGTCAGTGTGTGTGATTGAGCTCACAGATGAACTGCAACAACCGTGAAACCGGTCGTATGCATCCTCAGACATCTTCCAATTTGTGCAACCAGAACATGCTGTAATCAATACCATGCTGATATCAAACAAACCTGGAAACATGGTGATTAGAGTCACGAAAAATCAATACCGGAACCTAGTTCAGACGTGTGTAAGAAAATCCATTTTGATGGGCATTTGGTTTCGCTCCAAAGTTCCAAAGTGCTAACGCGTTCTTGATTTACTGTACCAAAAAGTTGCTGTTTTTGCTGCAGAGTTCCGAATAGAGAACGTCTGCAATAGGTTACTCTCCTCTGCATAAGTGTCGTGATTAGGCGGAAACTGAATTACTCCAAGGAGATTATGTTTTTCTTCCAGAGGCCTCTCGTTAGACTACGCGTGAAGCAGTGCACCATTTATAGCTTGAAATGCTATGGAGTGATACTGAAACCAGTAGAGGTGAACAGAAAGTTGTTTATCGAACGCTTGACTCATCCACCCGATGCTAACTGCCGCGAAGTTACACCATTAATGTTACCTAGCCTGGCTACAAAACGTCTTTGAACAACAGTTCGAGCGCGGAGAACACATCAGCATTCTCGGCTGTAATTATCATTCCACATTATTTCTAATCACCAGCGTTTCTGCTTTTGGTTCAAACCTATGAATTTCTAGCAGTTCAAAAGGAAACCATTAAACTTTAGATGGTGAATTTTTGGATTAGCCCATTCGGTTTTTCAAAGGCACCAGGCACTGTTGATGAGTGAAACCCACAACCAAAATTGATTGACTCATTCGCACAAGGTGATAACCG